CTTTTAGATATAACGTAAACACACTATATATACATAAATATACATAATATTTTATTGCTTACATATTGGCTTATAACAGTTGTTACAAACTCCCTAGATTCCTGAATATATGTTGTAGAGAAACCATGTCATGCTGTGGTTACATGTATTCTAGCACAACCAAGACAAAAACTCCAAACCACATGTAGCATACCAATAGGAACATTCACTCTGGTCCCCAAGAATAAACATTTTGCTTGAACACACAGGCCTCTTTTTTTACATACCTTAAAGCTACAAAAGGAAAACGCATGAATCAGAGGCCTGTAGTAATAAGAAATGGAAATCCTGATTCATTAGTGTTTTAATTAAAGCTGTGTAGTTTAGTTTTCAATCCAGCCAAGTCTCTCTCTTTTTCTCTCTCTCCTTCCCTACCTGGGTGGGAGGGGGAGGGGATCGAGAGCATTGTTGTCGGACCTGAGTCAAACTGTGACAAAAATAAATGTCTTGTGATGTTATCCCAGATAGCAACTGAAGGAACAGGTGATACTGGGCTTTCAGAAAAGAAAAGTTCTTACTTCTAAGATCTACATCACCTATTCTGCATTCAGAAAGGTGTCTGTAGACACTTCAGTATGAGTCAGTGGTGCACAAGCACAATAATTTTGCAAGAGCCAAATTCAAACTGTCCACCGAGAAATACAATTTTGTGTGAAGAAGTATAGGCATCTGTGACATGGGGAAAATAATAAAAACAATAGTCTCTAGCAGCAGGAAGTACTTAGCATTAGGGAAGCAACACCTTCCCAGTAGTTCTAATATTTCATTTTCCATACATTTTCAGTCCTGTTCTCTCCTTATTCTCTCTGAGGATCATGTACAGCAACATGTACAACTAGACTGGATTGACAAAATAAGATATTGCTGTCAGGAACCATTTCTTTCACTTCTTTCTGTACCAGAGTATATAGGACACTTTTTCCTGTTTTTTGTTTTGTTTTGTTTCTGTTAAGTTTTCTTTTCCAGGCATTTTCCACTGAGTTTTCAGTTTTGGAACTGCTCCACCCTATTTCCTTACCACTTAACTCCCATTTCTTTTTATATCGCAAACCATCTCTTTCCTTTTCACAGAAAGACACTTGCTGCTACTTGAGAGGTAGCCACACACCTCCTATTGTTTTCCTAATCTGGAATGTACCTCACTTGAGCTTTGTCAATGACCCTTACTGAAAATATCTCAAGAAAATAAAGAGATATTTTAATAAAACCAGTAGTGGGTCTCTATTATCAAAAGTAACTGTAAGTCAGAGATCTATCAGCAAATTACAGCTGTGCCTGTACTTTTTTAGACTGTGAATATTCTGATGAGTACTATACCTACTATTTTATGCAACTCTGACGTATCTCTAATGTAGAAGTGAAGTATAAAATAGAAAAGATTATTTATTTTTCCTGAGCTTTGAAGCTATTAGGTTCTGTTGTGTAAAACTTGGAATGCACTAATAAATAAACCTTTCCCTGACAGATGATAACAGCTCCTTTGTTTCTCCAACTCCCACTTGATGGAAGGATCATGCACTCAATCAATCCTAATGGCTCCCACTAAAACAAACCAATCTATTATATCTATTTAACTCCATGTACACATACTGAGTCCACATGTCAAAAACTGGTTCCATGATAAGCAAACAAAAACTTTACATTAACTGTTCTGATTCCTCTCTGCAGAATCCAAATGACACACAGCATAAATATTTTTACTTCATTAAATATACAACCTATTGCCTCAGAAAGTCTATATTTCCTGGTAACAAATAAATAGATAAATACATGGAACATTTCTCTCTCTTTCTTAGACATCCTGTACTGGAATCCCAGAATAACCACAGACCAAGGAAAGAGGGGGGGAAAGGAGAAGAGAATAAAGAAAAAAAAAAAAAAAAAAAAAAAAAGTTGACCTATTTAACAGGGAATAAGCCAAGACATTGAAACATGACCGACATTATCCATAGAAATCCTCATGCCTTATCTAGATAGATCAAATGCATAACATGTTATGCAGAATCTTCAGTGGTGTATATGGAAGAAATCTCTTTCTGTACTTCTTAATTAACATGTACCAGATTTTAAACACAGTTTAGGGGAGAACTATTTGGAAGAAAGGGGAAAAATTAGAAGTCTTTGTTGCTGTGTTGTCTTCAGATCTGCTCCAATAACTAACTGAGGAGATTAAATTATGGAAATGTGACATCTCACCTAGCACTTATTATTAGGGAAAAAGAAACAACGATTAAACTCTTTTTTGGAGATCTTATTTTCAATGAGTAGTTAGTATTAAGAAAGACAAAACTAAGAAGAAAATCTAAGTACAGTAAGGAACACTATGAAACTCTCTTGAGAACATTGCATTAGACTCAACTGCAATAGAGCTCATCTTATGTGAAATCAAATTCATTAGACCAGGAAAACCCTTTTAGTAGCTTTACCACCTCTCCATGTTTGTTCTCCATTGTTACCTGAGTAAAAGAAACCTTAAGAAATTCTACAGGATAGCTAGCATAAAGCACACACTCAACAATATTGCAGGGCCTCATCCAAAAAAAGTGAGTGGAATTAGCCATAATCATTACTGGACTGCATAAAATAATTACCTGATGTCTTTTAGTTGTTTTGTTTTGGCTTGGGTTTTGGTGTGGGTTTTTTTGTTGGGTTGTGTTTTTCCATTTTGTAAATAAGAGTCTGAAGTAGTAATGACATTTGTCAGCTACCACATATACCTGAAGCTCTCAGTTTTCTCATGAGCATTCAGTGCATTCCCCAGAGCGGGCAAGAATTATGTTCACAAGCATCAGTACTTAGAAGCCATTTTTTAATACATGCTAGTTCAAGTTTCTGACTACAAAAAAAAGTCAAACAGCTGACAGTTTCAGATCTGTTGCATACAGGAAGAATTTGGAAGGCAGCTGCAAAGCCTGTTACACTATGAGTTTGTTTTGGTGCAAAGTATTTATCCCCTCTTTAAGAATTCCAAGTAAACAGTAATATTCTTGAACATCCTAAACACACATTTACTTTCTAACAGAGCAACTCTAAATTCTCCTGTTCAACAAAGTAAAACCTTAATGACACTGGAGACAAGACTTCTGCTGCAGAGCACCACAAAACATATGCTATTTGAAATGCATCAAGACTAGATGAGACATGTAAGAACAGTAGTTTTAAATTATGTTACCATTGGAATTAAGAGCCACATTTTCAAGCTAAATCTTGGTTTGGAATTTCTTCTGGAACTGAACTGCTGTCACCTTTAATTGGACACCAGATTTCTAGAAATCATCAATAGAAACTAACAAAAGAAGAGTTGCAAGTATCTTCACAACCTTTTCACAAGAAGAGACAACATTTGGCACTACCTTCCAGTTTTGAAGAGAATATAATACTGCCCTAGTAGATCACAGTTCCATCAAGAAAACTCCCATCATTACCACACTGCTCATGGCTGTCTAAAAAAATAACTGTACATCTGTCTCTCCTACCCATAGCTTTTTTAATGAAAAAAACACTGGTTTAAAACACAAGCACAATTTTCTTTTTTTGCACTTAAGGCTCCTGAAAGTAGAATACTAAATTGCCAGCTTACTGAAAGTTTGGAAGCCCATTTTAGCTCCTTAGAAATATGGCACAAGTAATGTTGCTCAAGGTGAAATAAGTCCTGGTACCTTGAAAAGCAGCAATACTAAGCTCTCTATCACCAAGACCTCCCAGTCTCACAGTACAACCACCAGTGGCAGCATCCTCAAATTAGGTCAAGGGCTATATTTTACATTATGAAAAATCTCCTGTGCACCACACAATAAATCATGTTTGAGAACAAATGTTTAACAATTCATTCAGTGCAACATGTCTGAGAAGCCAAACATGCCACTGATGAATTAAACAAAATAATTTAGCTGTAGAAAGATACTAATACACTAATAACTTGCAAAATACTATTTTCAAATGCATCATTACAGCAACAGCAGTATCCCTAGAATGACATTTGTCTTGAGAAAGGTGTCTCCTTTCAACTTCTCCAAGACTGGAAAGTTCATTTCAAGCAATAAACTTCTATCACTAGTAATAAATTTTTCACAAAATGAATTTATTTTGTATCAGTTACTGCTACAATGTATCAGTGTCTTTGTTCTTTTTGTATAAACCCCCAAGAGTATGAGGACAAATTTTATGTCCTTAACCAACTAAGACATAAGTTAAGATAAAAAAATTCAAAATTTGACCCCAATTATTTTGAAATTAAAAAGCATTCAAAAAGTTTAGTCTAAACCAAGAAAAGCTTCTTCTACAGTATGAAGCTGAGACTTGTCCAGTTTTCTCCACACTTCATTAGTCTCCCAGGTAAAGAAAGTGAAACACAGGAAGAGTTGAGTTATTATGCTATGAACAAGTTAAGCACCTGAGCACAGTTCAAGTTACTTAAATGAGAGAGACAAACATCTTGAAAAATTAAACTTGGAAGATCACTGACTCAGACATGACCACACAAAACAGCATCAGACTACACAAAAAATTACAAGCTTTGGATACACACAGAAATAAAAACCGTCTTGTTAGTAATGGAAAATGTGCTGCTGGGACAAAAGGGCAGAGTATTTTTTTTTTTTTAATGTTAAATATATATCCATATATATAAACCAGGAAAGGCATAAAACCGGGTTGGCCAAGAAACGCTCCTCTCCGTCCCTACGAAGCCGAAGAGGAGGCGCTGGGGGAGCAGCCTGCG